ACGAACGACCACGCCTGAAGTAGTAATGCACAATACGGCAAATAATAAGGTTAAAATAATAACCTTGGTGTATTCCCATGTAATGAAATTCTTAAAAAAAAAAAAAAAAAAATTTAAAGAAGAAAATAATGCAGACATTATATAAAATTCATTTAATTTCACGGTTTTTTAATAATTATATTTCGCAAAAATCCAGGAAAACAAAAGTTTGTTTTTCAAAGAGATGAATTAATCAAGGACAAGGCCAAAAATCACGGTGACGAACTAAAAAAATTGTGAAAAACCCAACGTCGGAGGGAGGAAATTATCACTTTTGTCATTAATATATATATGTATATACGTATTATCGAATATCTGTATTACATAAATAAAAAAAAAAATAAATAAATATTACAAGTTAAAACAACACATTGAAAAAATAATAATAATAAACTTTGGCAATAATAAAAGATAGGCAACAAAAAAAAAATTAAATACACTTTCCCTAATAAATAACTTTACTTTCATTTGATACTTATTATGAAAGCATTATTGGTACATTTACGATAATTTTTTAAAAAAATATACATTTATATGTATTCATTCATTCATACATACATACATACTTTACATGATCCTCCGTCCGTGAATATATGTATACATAGTCACATACATAATGTTTATGAATAAAACACAAACACACACACACAAAGATATGTATATTTATTTGTGCGTGTGTCCTTTTAAATTTTTACTCCTGTGAACGCGATACCAATAATGTGTGAAATCTGTTAATTATGATTTTTTTTTAAACACAATTTATACCGTATATGTATATCTGTATATACATTTATATTAAATTGATGATATTTCTTAATTTTTTTAATACTTTTAAAACAATTTTAAAAAAAAGATCACATGTTTATAAAGATAATATTAATTTTTTTTAATTTGCTTCGTTAAACCTTAGAAAAATTGAAAAATTATTTGTCACATTTCAGATTCTTAACGATTGTATTACGCTTATGAACCATTCATATGATTCTTTTTTTTTTTTTTTTTTTTAATCGTATAAATAAAGAATGATAGATCACGGAAACAAATTCATTTTTTTCTTTCTTTCTTTCTTTTTTTTTTTTAAATAAAAAAAAAAAAAAGTGTTAATAAAACTGAAAAATGCCATACGTGAATTTATTTTTTCTTTTAAAAAATAATTTTGTCATGTGACACCTTCATTTCTTTAACTTGGAGTATCTAAACTTTTGATAAGACTGACAAAGTCTAAATTTTATTAAATTCAAAATTAATATTTTAAATAATTATTATATAAATATTATAACCAATAAACTTGTATTATCAGCGAAAATTCTATAATAAGTTTTTTTTAAGTGTAAATGGAGTTGTTGATTAATTATGTTACAATTACTGTAATTTATTAAAAATTATGTTTCCCTTTAAACCCTCCCATTTTCTCCGAAGAGGAAAAAAAATAAAAAAATCCAAAATTAATTCAATAGTTTTGGGTAAATACTTTGATTAAAAAACTCCTTTTTTTGTTTAAATCCGAGAATTTCCGAGAAAGATTAATTAATCTTAATTTTATACGTGTTTATTGCGAATTAATTTTACTTTCATTTACGTCAATAGTTATGAAATAACAAAAAATTATTATTATCATTATTATTTTAGTGGTACAAGAGAAACTGTAAAACCATTTTTTTCATAAGTTATCAAAGATAAATAATGAATAAATATAATAATTGCGTAAGTTTATAAACGTCGTCCGTTGTAGGAAAAATAAAAAAATTATCTTCTCTTACATGTCAATGTAAAATCTTTTAAATTCAATTTAAAAAAAAAAAAAAAAACTAACACTCAAATCAAATATTTATTTCTTTAAAAAAATGATGGCAATTTTATTGATTTCCTTAAAATAATAATTCTTTTGATAAAACTAAAAAAAATAATTGGAAAATTATTTTCCCTTTATAATTTATTATTACCGATAATTGAATAAACTACATAAACGTAGTATCACGTGAACATAATGTGCATGAAATTATAAAATACGTAATTAAATATTAATTATTATAATTAAAAAATATTTCATTTCGTATATCATCCACGACAAATAAAAATTATTGCTACTCATTAAAAAATATCTTTGATGTATTTGACTTATTTGGGGGGAGAAAAAAAAGAAAACTGATAAACTATGATAAAAAATAAAATAAAACGCGAAAATTAAAGTATTAATTCTTTACAAATACAATCGTTGATTTTATAACTTCAATAAAATAAATATTTTTTTATTTTTTTATTTTTTTTGAATTATTTACTTCAAGGACTGAAATATTTCATTTTAATTCAAAATAAACGCACGATACTTTAAAAAAACTCATTAAAAGAAAACAATTTTTTTTTACCCTCCCACCCCATACGTAATTTCAGTACGACCTGAGTTTTAGTAAATTTTAATAAAATTCAACTCTCACGATGACTTAGAAGGGAAACAAAAAATACACCGTTCAAATGTAACATGAAAAATAAATATATACACACACATAAGAAGTCACGAATTTAAAACTCTGACAAAAACAAACAATTAGTCGTCAAGAAATAATTGAAGCAATTAAAGAAATACTTTGGTCGAGTGAGTTACCTGTGACAGGTCATCTAACGTTTTTGTTCAAGGTCAATGCGCTTTAAAACTTTCATAATAAAATACTTGCTACCTATATGTAATAATATTTTAGCAGGCATTATTATTGTTAATCTAACTGAAATAACCGTTTAAATTTTTAAAATTAATTTATTCCGAAATTGAATCAAAAAATAAAAAATTTTTTTTTTTAATAAATATTATTAGATTATTGTCGGCCATTAGGATCTTACTTTCAAAAAAATTAAATTTATAAGAATAGATGTTAATTAATTAATTATAAAATTTTTTTTTAAATACGAAAAGCAAGTCTTATTTATATTTTATCATATACTTTTACGTAAACATAATCGAAAAAAACAAAATTAAAATTTATTAAAAACGGTGAAGTAAGTCAATAACGAGAGTTAATGTCAAATTATAATTAGAATTAAAATTTTAATTATTTAAATTACATAATATTTAGTAATACTAACGTCATTTTTGTACTTTTTTTTTTTTTTTTGAAAAATAATTAACATTGACATTTTATCTTGCCTTGGAAGGTGAAGACTTTTTTATTAAAAAGAAAAAAAAAAAAAATCAGGTTTTATTTTTTGATAGCAGCGTAAATGAATAGCCGAAATTTCCCTTGAACTAAAAAAATTTAAATATAATATGACGCATTTAAACTTTTTTTTTTTTATTTTCTGTAATTGAATTTAAAATCAAATTTGACAGAAAAAAATTTCAATTTTCACCGTAGAAATAATTTATAAATGTCAACGAGGAAATAATTAAAAAATAATATTAATTTAAAATAATTACATAAATAAATTTTTTGATAGTTTAATATTTAAAAGAGAAAAAAAAAAATTGAGATACCCCTTTTTATTCAAATCTCATAAAAAATTAATGTTTATAAATAATTTTTAATAAAGGGGCTAAATTTAAACGAGGAAGTTTTCAATTTATTGTAAAAATTTATCAAAATTTTTAGAAATTATTGGGTGTAAAAAAAAAAAAAAAAAAATTAAAATCAATTTAAACAATAAATCCGTCTATACGTTCATAGAGTTTTAAATTATTAATCATTATTTCCTTTGAGAACAGTGTCGATAGCATTTGTAAATGTCAATTTATAAATGAATGGACATGCATATACGTAAATTTTATTCGTATACTTCATACGTATATAACTTTTTTGAATTTAAATATTTTCTTTACGTTCGTATATTTTATTAAAAAATAAAATTATAAATTAAATTTATTTTTCATTTCAAAACCACCGTGATAATTAAATTTATGATTGATTTAAAAGTAAAAAAATTTTGATTTGCTTAAAGCGCCTTAAATATTCCGTTTATGCAAATTAAATACGTTTTAATATTAAATGCCAGTTAGTTATAGAACATAATAATAATAATAATAATAAATGTTTAAAAAAAAGGGGTTTTAAATACTATTGAAAATTTTAATCAAAAATAATAAGTGTAATTTTGTATAAAATTATTCTAATGTTTCATTCAAAACAAAATTTAATAGAAGGGAGTAATTGCCACTGAGTAGTGAAAGATAAGTAGTGAAATATTTATTTAAATGTGTAATATATATATATATATATATATATATATATATATAAAATGATCTCTAGTTTCATTATTTAAATTTAATTTTTAAGTAGAGAAATCCCAGAAAAACAAACATAAATCATAAATAATGAATGCCTTAGTAGTAAATAAAAAATTTAGTAACATTTTTTTAATAATATTTAACTAATTTTAAAATTAAAATATACTTTTTATTTGCATTGATAACAGTTATATTGGCTTTAAAACAATTAGTTACAGGGCGAGAGTAATATAATATTAAATAAATCAGAAACTTCAAGTATTTTCGTTTTATAAAAAAATTTTTGCAACAAACAGGGAATATGAAAAACTGCCATTCCATAAGTGATAATAAAAACAGGGCACAGGGAAAATTAAACCTGAAATGAATTTCATAGTAAATATTCTTATGTCAAATAAATAATAATACCCACATAGATTTATATATCAAAACCAAGTCAAATTTTTTTAAATAAATGAGAAAAAAAGATCTCTTACACACTTATCCACTAATTAACTTTCATTATTGAAAAACAAAAATATGATTAAAGTGAATATCGATGATTTGTAAAAAATATAAAAATTATAGGTAAGCTATTCGAAATAGATATCATAGTTAAAACTTAAAAATTTTGAACAGTTAATTCAACCTGTTAAAAAAAAAAAAAAATTTGTAAAATGAGAAAAATTAACTTACGGCTCAGCTTCGATAGATTTCACTTTGGCTACATAGTTCGATGGAATGTATCCTTCTTGTTTGCTTGCTTTACTTCTTGCCAACCACCAGTCTCCCTGAGTATCATTTAGTATTTCCAATAATTCTCCTTTCCTAAAACTCAAGTCTTCATCTGTACGGGCATCATAATCATAGAGTGCCACAAACATTTTCGCGTTAGAATTATTAGTTCCATCAGGCTCGGGAACAGGTGGCATAGGACCGTTTCTAACTTCCGGCACAGCATCGTGTGTCGCAACTTGACTCGGTGGCTGCACGGGAGTTGATAACTGTCTATCTGTTGTAGTAACTGCAGGAGTACCTATTTCTTTTTTGGTGGAATTTCTATGACGAGTAAAGCAGTTTCCCATTTTAAAAGGTTCAGTTGTTTGCCGCTGTGTGATAATTTTACTTTAATATGGCATAAAGAACACCGAGCTTTGAGAATTTTTTTTAAAAATAAATACAAGAACAAAAGAGAAATAAGCACTATATTAGCATGTAAAATTGTTCACATCACGTAATACTACTGATAAGAAATTTCGGCATTAAAAACTATGGCTTTTTTTTCGGAAATTTAGCCCACAATAGCGAGAAAATTGCATTTAAAATTAAAATTAAATTACAACATATTACACAAACCTAAAAGCAAACATTGAGCGGCCATGACACTTCGCCATAAGCCTGAGTATTTCATGAACAAAAAATTAAACAGGGAATTTTTTTTTTTCAAAGTTGCACACGTGTATTACGTCTATCATTCCCGGTTGCATTAAATTAATGTTTGTTTTTTTTTTCTATTAATTTTATTTTGTCTGTATTTTTTAAAATAACATTTATTTTATTTTAAAATGCCTGTGTTTAAGGGTAATGTATAAAATTAATTTTTACAATGTTAAAATTTGCATTAATAGTAAATTTATTTATAAATATATATATAACCTAACCAGGTCTCTTACAATTAATTTTGAACTTAGAATTTGAATATTTTAATTTTTGTGAAAAAATAAATTGTTTTTACTGTAATAATTAATATTTTTCCGGTATTTTTATTTTTTAGTACCTTTTTAAAAAAATCAAATGACTTTAAGTGTGAAGTTTAATTTTTTTAAAAGTTCATAGTCATTGATAAATACCGGATGTGAAATTTCAAATTGAAAAATTTTGCTTTTTTATAAAACTACGTAACTTTAGTCTGAGTAAAAAATTTACTTTTGTTTTTACTTTTTTTTTAGTTAAAGTGAAATGGGGCAAAGAACTTTTCAGTGACGTAGAAGCAAATACTGATGAAGATTTATTAGTTTTTAAGGCGCAACTTTTTGCCCTTACAGGAGTTCACCCAAACCGTCAGAAAATTGTAGTTAAAGGAACTAACGTAAAAGAATGGTCGACTACAAATATAAAAGATGTAAACAATTTTATTATTTTTTAAAATTATAATTTTATTGTTGCATTGTTTAAATTTTTTAATTTTATTTATCACAAAAATTCGACTAAACTTTAAAATTATTTTCAGGGAATTACATTAATGTTAATGGGAAGCAAAGATGAAGATATTTCTAAAGAACCTATTGTTAAACCAGTTTTTATGGAAGATATGTCCGAATGCGAATTAGCCACAGCTGTAAGTTGACATTTAATTAATACTTACATGTTTGAATGTGATTTAATTAATTAATTATTAACTATTTTAGTTAGACCTCCCAGCTGGACTTACTAATTTAGGAAATACGTGTTACATGAATGCCACAGTACAATGTCTAAAAACAGTACCAGAGTTAAGAGAAGCTTTAAAAAAATACTCAGGAAGTAAGTAATAGGTACATATTTTGTTTTTCGGGCTCTTTTGCACTTAATCAATAATTAATAAATTTCACAGCTGTTCAACTTGGTGGTCCAGAAGGTATTCTTCCTGCTCAGTCTATAACTGCAGCATTGAGAGATTTATATTCATCAATGGACCAGGGGAATTCTATGCCACCTTTTGTATTGTTACAAGTTCTTCATATGGCTTTTCCTAGATTTGCAGAAAAAAGCAGTCATGGGGGTTTTCAACAGCAAGATGCCAATGAATGTTGGACAGAATTGATTAGAATGCTTCAACAAAAACTATTACCTAAAGTTGAAGATGATAAACCCACTCATTTTAAGTAAGTATTTATTTACTTTTTGTGTAGTAATAACATGGTTTTTGAAAAAATAAAATTAAAAATTTTTTTTATGATGAAAATGCAATTTTTTTTGAAATGGCCAACAGCTATTAAGAAAATTCAAAATTTTTTATTTAATGATTTCAAAACTGAAAAAAATTAAAATTTAATTTTCGTCAATTTTTGTTGCTTATAATTTTATCCAGTACAGGTGCATCAAGCATTTAGAATTCTCTATAATTTATCACTAATTGTTTTTATACATTAAAATTATATAATGTATATATATATATATATATATATATATACATTTTTCAGTTATGAACGTAACTGTAATTATATTTTATGCATAGATGTATATTATATAAATATTGGGCTAAAGATATCACTCTTAAAAGACTAAAATAATTTTTTTAGGTCATTGATTGATCAATATTTTGGAGGCACTTTTGTATTTGAAATGAAATGCTCAGAAACAGAAGATGAACCTGTCACACATGGAAAAGAAGATTTTTTACAATTAAGCTGTTTCATATCAGCTGATGTTAAATTCATGTTATCTGGTCTCAGAAATGTAAATTTAAATAACGTCTTACCTATTTTTGTTTAATCGTTTCACTTTATTCATTAAATTATTTTATTTTAAATTTTAGAAACTTCAAGAGCAGATTACTAAACAATCACCAACTTTAGGAAGAGATGCAGTTTACTTAAAATCTAGTAAAATTAATCGACTTCCTGCTTATTTAACTATTCAATTTGTACGGTTTTTTTATAAAGAAAAAGGCTCCATAAATGCCAAAATTTTAAAAGACATCAAATTTCCATTAGAATTTGATGCATTTGAATTATGTACTGTTGAACTTCAAAAAAAATTAGCTCCAATGAGAGCCAAATTTAAAGCTCTTGAAGATGAGCAAGTCAAAGAATCGTTGAAGGATAAAAAAAAGGATAATTTAGAAAATGAAGAAAGCAAAGTCAAAACAGAAACAAAAACAGAGCCTTATTGGTTTTCTGATGGTACTTGAATAAATTTTGATAAGTTATTTTTTTTCGTTGGTTTATTGGTTTCCCCATGATTAAAAAAATTGTTTGTTATTTACAGATTTAGGTTCAAATAATTCAGGATATTATTCATTGCAAGCTGTATTAACACATAAAGGCCGCACTTCTTCCAGTGGACATTACGTGGCTTGGATTAAACAGAAAGCTAATGTTTGGCTGAAATGTGATGATGATGTTGTTTCACCAGTCACTGAAGAAGATGTTCTGAAACTTTCAGGTGGAGGAGACTGGCACTGTGCTTATGTATTATTGTATGGTCCAAAAGTTCTAGAAACACCTGTTGTTACGAATGCATAAAAGGTTTTATCTTTGTACATAATATAACAATGAAAGAGCGTGATAAATCTTTTTCAATAAAATGCATTTGTTTTTAAAATGTTTATTTACATTTCAGCAAAATCTCTTTTTTTTTTTTAAAATTGTTTTTAATTGTTATTTTATAAAAAAAAAAAAAAAATGCAATAATTTTTTTTTGTTAAAATAAGGTCATTTTAATAATCTTTCAAATTTTTTTTTTTTTTTCATATTAAAATCTTTTAATAATTTCTTATATAACTTGCCGATTTTTTTTTTTTTTTTAATTTTATTTTTATGTAGAATGTTTTGAATACAAATAAATGTGTTTTACAATTAAAGTAAATTTTCATTCATAATTATAATTTTTAAATGAAGTAAATTAAGGAATTCAACAGACTGGGAAGTACCAATAAAATAAATTCCATTATTTAATTTTTGCAGGGAATTTTGTCGACATTTACAAAAATTGTAATATAATGTAAAACATTAAATTGTTGAGATAGCATTTCCGTACAGAGTGTCATCATTGTCAGCGTTCTTATGTTATATTCAAAAAATTTAGTTGTTTTGATTAATTTAAATTAAATATCATATGTAATTTATTTAAAAATAATACTTTAATTACATATTTATTATAAATTATCAATAAACCCTAAGAACAAACAATGAGTGAAGAATTCAATCCCGCGTATACCGCTGATCAATGTCACGTTAGTGAACCTCTTCGGTCTTCTCTCCCTAATATATGCGAAAGAATTCTTGAAGATAGTTTGATGAAAGAAAATGTGATTGATATTTTAGACGAGGTGGAAAGCCACGTGGAAAGATTAAGAAAAGAAGCAGTTCATCTCGAAGAGGAAAAGGAAACTATAATGACTGCATTAGATACATTAAAACATTCCCACATTTTGGAAGATATAACTGAGAGTAAGTTTTATACAATTTTTTCAATTAAAAATTTTTACCATCAAACTTGCATTTTTTATTTATATACAAATATATAAGTACAAGTTTAATTCTGTTATCTGTTATATTTTAAACAAATCGTTTAGTAATTTTAAAATAAAAAATTTTTTTTAATTGTAAATCTTCTTGTTTATGTAATTATACGCTGATCAATAAAAAAATAAAGTTTTTTTTTTTTTCTTTTTGTGTGAAGAGATTAGTATTCATTTTTATAATAATTTATTTTAACAATACATTGATAAATGTATTTATAGTTATTTACAAAATAATTCTTACTTTTATTCAAGTCATTTAATGCCAAATTATTATTGAATTTTGTTACCTTTATAATAATAATAATTTGGAATAACAATTAAATATCAAATTCATAATAAATACATTTTTATTTTTGATTATTAAATGAACTTCTTATTGGAGTCTTAAAATCACGCTCAGAAACGATATTGTTTAAATAATGAACCTTTTAATGTAATTAATTACCTATATTAATACAAGTGAATATTTATATTATTTTTTAGCTGAAAAAGGAGACATAGAAAGATATGCTGATAAGATTCTATCAAGATGTTCCACTATTGAGGTTTCTGTGAAAATAGTTCGTGATCACATTCAGGAAGATTCACTTCATCAGGTTAATAAGTTAATTGATAACATGATTAAAGAACTGAAAGATAATCCTGCAGCAACCAAATTGAAATGCCTTTCTTTTATGAATTCTTGTTCTTCATACTGTGAAAATGGTAATGAAGATAAAAATTTTGAGCATGCATTATTGGGTTGTACTATTGATGATCAAAAAAGGGTAAAAAAAAGGCTTCAGGGATTAATGAATTACATTGACAAATTCAACATGATGTCTTAAATCAAAATTTTTAAGTCAACAAAAAAAATTTTACCTTAGATTAGTACATTAAATAAATGGCCTAAAATTTGATATTGTTATTTATAGGGGCCAGTCAATGTGTAATTTTTTATTCCTTAGAACTGTTTTCATTATTTAAATATCGAATAAGTTTGAAAAATAAAACAGTCACAATTGCTTTTATTTCATTTTTACAAAAATTCAATTTTTTTTTTTTTTCCCCCTCCCTTTTTAAACAAAATGTTCTTTCTAATTTATCATAACAAAAAAACACATACTTTTTTTTTTTTTTTATTCATAAATAGATTCATCCAAATCAATCACTGTACAATTACTGACATTTTGTTTTTTTTTTTTTTTTTTTTTTCAATGATCAATAATGAGAATTAGTAGCTTTTTATTATTAGTTACTTCTAATAAAAATTATTTAAGTAATAGTGATAAAAAAAAAAAAAAAATTGAATTTCAACAATAAATAATTTTCAATTATCAAATTTAAAAAAAAAAAAAAAGGCCAAATAACTTAAAAACAAAAGCAGATTTATTTTATTTAAATCTACTTAAAAAATATATACATATATGAATAATAATTAAAATGACTTTTGTTTTCTTCACATATTAATTAAGTATAATTTTTTAAAAAATTTTCGGACTTTCGTCAAAATAAAAGAAATGATAATATTAATTTTTTTTTTATAAAATTAAAATATGGATGATGGTACATTGATAAACAAACTTTTGTTATACATTTAATAAAAAAAAAAAAAAAAAACAAATTATTAATGAAGTAAAATCATTAATTATGTATATGTTTTAATTATTTATATGCACTTACATTCCTTTTTATTATATGATAAATAATGTTAGTTTGTCACTTAATTTCATTAATAAATATCATAAATAAATAAATAAAAATTTTTATTTTTTTTTTGTTAAATTGGTTTCCAAAAAAAAATAAAAATAAAAAAAGATTTGATTAAAAAAATTTTAATTTTATGAAATATGTTGTGTCTGATTTTACCCTTTTACCTTTTGATAATCTGGAGTTATAATGTATATTTTTATTAAAAATTGTGACATTAATATTTTATTAAATTAAATAACGAATTTTTTGAAAAAAGAAAAAAACTAGTGCAAGACTATATTACTGAGCTAAATAGATCGATTAAGAAAAATTAGTAAATTAATCAGGCATAGAAATAATGCACATTAGTTTTTTAAATAATTATGCAAACTTATTATTTTTTTTTTTTTTTAACTCATTGAAACATTTATATTGCGCCAGTATAATACAAACGGTTTTTAAAAAATTGGCCTTAGCATTATTTATTCAATGTAAAATTCTAGAAGAAATTAATTTTATAATTTTTAAGTCTCACAAACTTTGTAAATCACCTTTAGGAAAAAATTCCTTATATGAAAATCAATTAAAAAATAATTTTTTTTTTTTTTTGATAAAGACAACAGTAATTAAGAATATATATATAAACATTTAAAATTTTTTGACTCGTGCATTAAATTACTATCCGAATAAACTATAACAGTAATAATAATAATATTAATTTAATTATTTAATTTTAAAAGAGGTTGGAATAGAAGTTTTTTTTAAATAAAAAAAAATTAATAGAAAATTTTAAATTTATTTTTTATGATAAATCAAACACGCTGTGAAAAATTAGTTATACGTGAAAGAATTCGAATTAAAAAAAAAAAAAAAAAAAACATATGTAAAGATAAAAAATATATTTTTTAAATATTAAACTTGTTTATTTTTTTACATTTGCTTAGATATGATAAATAAGATATATCATTATAATACAAAAAAAAAAAAAAAAAAACTTTACGATAACTAAAAATTAAAGTCAAATTGTTTTTTAAATTATATTATTTTATTTTAAATATTGCATTAAAGAGTTAAACAAATAAAAAAAAATTATTTCAAAACAAAGCAGGAATGCTTTTATTTTCGTAACAAAAAAATTATTTAAATATATATATATATATATATATATATAGTATTAGTTATTATATTTATTATGTATAATAGGGTAATATTTAAATAAAATTTTTCACGGATATCACAATAATCTACAAGAACCTTTAAATATATTTTTCTTTTTTCTTTGATTTTTTTTACCTGGTTGCAAAATTATTGTGCTATTTCCGTTTCGACAATTTTTACCGTTTACGGTGGGACTTCCAAATGCATCTGTAAATTAATTAATTATTATTACTTACATATATATTTTTTGTCAATTAAATAAAATAATTGAATTAAAAAATCAATGTCCGTCAATGTTTTTTAAATTTATAAATCATTCATTCGTGTAAAATAATATTTAACGTGAAAATAAATACTTACTGATGGTGAAGGGAGAAATTCCATTACCAATACTATATTCTTTTTCTTGTTCGTGAATTTCAGATAAACATTTTGCTGCTAAATATCTGAAAACAGAATTTATGTTGATATCTTCTTTAACGGATGTTCTTATAAGTTTACATCCTAGGGATTGAGAAAGACGTTCAACTTCTTCCCTAAAAAAAAAAAAAAAATTTTTTACTCAGTTTAAAATTGAAATTTTTATCATATATTAATTAATTTATATATATATTTTTTTTATTATGTGGTAAATACTAACGGTTCTACGACACTTTGGTCAATTAAATCAATTTTATTCTGTACTAAAACTGTTGGAATTTCTCCGCATTCATCTTCTACCTAATTATTACATAAAAAAAAAAAAAAAAAGAATACAATGCATTTTAAAAATTTATAAATAATAATAAAAAAAAAATGTTTAATTGTTTTTTTTTACAGTTAATGGTAAATATGTTGTTTTTAGGTTCTGATCATTTGCCACGGTTTATATATTAAATATTAACTCCAATAAAATTTTATTTATTAGTTAGAAAAAAAAAATTTTCATTTCTTTTATTTTAAATATAAATAATTATATTAATATAATTTATAATTATTTAATAATAATAATATAATAGTTATTATGTATCAGATTTTGTAAACAATCACCAGGATATTAATCACAGGTTAAAAAAAGAAATTTAATTTTTTTTTATTTTTTGGGCGCGCGCGTTTAATTAAATAAATTTATCTTTGAACTTTCCAATTATTATTTATTGTTTGAATGTTTATTTAAATTATTAATAGATATTCCTAAAGGTGGTGGTTTATCACATGTGTATACATATTTACCATAAGACGTGCGTGATAGTTAGACGCGAGCGAATAGATTTCAAAAAAAAAAAAAATTATTATTATAATAACAATACCAACGTTAAATTCCTTAAAATTCAAAATACAAGTTTCTATAGCATCTTGTATCGTATTGATATAAAAAAAAAAAACCGTGAATTCAGTCAAGTTGATTGCCTTGGCAATAAAAATGTTTTAATGCAACGTGTTTAAAAAAATGGGTGTAAATTACCTTTAATTTCCACGAATGAATAGCTTCAAAAGAGTCTCTATTCGTTGTAGAGAAAGTTAAAACGCAGGCTTGTGCTCCTCTGTAATAAGCTTTAGTTATGGCATCAAATTCTTCTTGACCTGCAGTATCCCATAGCATAAGTCTCACATCCTCACCTTTCATTCTGAAATTAATAAAATTTTTATCATTTTCAAAAAAAAAAAATTTCTCACTCATTGCCATTTAAAACTCATCATTGAAATTTGGTTTCACCAAATCGTTAACAAAAAAAAAAAAAAAAAAAAAAACAAGGGTAAAATGTTTTCATTTAACATGTAATAATAATAATAAAAATATTTTTTTTTTTTTTTTAAAATCATAAATGAATAATTTAGTAATATTAAATATTTTCTGTTGCCTTTCCCTTAATTTATTCAGTCGTAGGTATTCAAATTTTTATCTATAGTATTTTTATTAATTCGTAAATATTATGCTAAATAATTTACAAAAAAAAATTAATATAATTAAAATAAAGTTTTTCTTTAAAAAAAAAAAAAAAAAAACAATTATAATTTTTTGTTATTTATTTTTTAGCAATGGTTTTCTTTTTTGTGTCAATTCAACAAACAATATTAAGCCCAAATTTTTTATTTTTGGGTTTTTAGTTCAAATTATTATTTAAAAACAAGAAAAACCAGAAACTTGTAAAATTTATTTTATTAAATTTTCAATAATTGTCCATGACAATTATTTCTCTTCAGATACACAGAAATTTTACTTTTTTTTTGTTTGTTTTCTTTTTGTCAAAAATGATAACAGATCGGTACGAATTTTTCAAATTGATTTCCACAACAATTTATCATAAATCTTTCCCTCAAAATACTTTTCATTTTCAATCACAAGTTTCAAAGTGTCTTGACGAATTTTTTCCAACATTTATTCCAGGGCTGTACCCCCCATCCTTTGAAATAAATGCTTCAATATCGATTTTTAAGTTTTGTAAAGCGAATTAAATTTTTGATATGAATGCTGCTAGCGCTACATTAATTATTGTAACCCTTTTAGAGTTCATCTTATTTGATGAAAACGAGTTATCTTCCGATAACCAGCTCACAGGTGACATACATTTGCGGAATCAAAATAAAAATTTCGCTGAGGTGTCTCAGTTCGACAGCTGAATAAGAATTGCTCTGGTTGTTTTGTTGTCTTCTTGTTCTTATTAAAGCCAACGGCACGTGAAGTTTTCAAGCGGTCACCCGTCCGAACACAAATCACGCCCGATGCCTCTTCGGTGATCGAACGAGAACCGATGGGTTTGGCATGATACGGCCGTTGACTTAATATTATTATTATTATAGTTTATTCTCATACTAATTTAATACACGAGCGTAAGAATATATAAATATATATCTAACGGTTATAATTAGGTCAAAAGTCAAAAAAATGTCGTTAAAAATTTTACCTTCGTCACTCATATCAATAACCCAATTGTTGCTTGTTTTTATTTTTTACCGAAAAATACGAGGAACTTGCAGATTTTTTTTTTGGTAGTTTTTTTTTTTCTATGTTATAGATTTCGAAAATGTTTTCTTGGTTTTATACATATAGCTTAGTATTTTGTTTTTAACCACAAAAAAAAAAAAAAATCGTAATAATATTTTATAACACCTTGTAAAACTTATTCTCGGTGGTATAATGTTCTTTAAATGTGATTGATTTTTTTTTTTTGTTTTGTCAACTAATTTTTGTTTCATTTTCATTAGTTTACATAACAATATGACATTGGCTTTATTACCCTATTACTGAATTAATATGTATAAATGTGTATATATATATATATATATATATATATATATATATATATATTGTTATGATCCCGTACTCAATATTCACATTTTCAAATTTTTATAAACAAAAGACTGGCGACGAACTCGAATTGTTCTTCTTTAGAAGCGAAGCTTCTAAAGACTCCTTCTTTTATTTTATTTGCAAGTGTTTGCTAGTTCCCATTGTTGCTCGTTCGAAACAGTTGACTGACGAAAGACCAAAGTAATATAGGCAAGCTACACCGCTTGGCGTCGGTTCATTTGATTTTTAGTCTAGCTGTAATAAGTTCTTGTTTATTAATATTAGTTTTGTGATAGTTTTAAGTGCTTGTTCATTACTTACAAAAATAAAGAACGAACCGAATATAACATATTAAAATTTTGGCGCAGTCGATGAAGGATCATTCTGAACGACAAGAAACCGGAGAATTCTTAAGTAATTCGTTTCATGTTGGTGGGTTTTAACTCTTTATCAGAATTTCTTTATATTGTAAGTAGTAGTAATAGGTTACTCATTTTGTGAACAATGCCTAAACTTGATCAACCTGTTTTCAACCCATCCCAAATACCCCTTGATTTCTTGTGTAGTCTAGTTCCTAATTTCTTTTCCGGAGAAAGGAACCAACTTAATGCATTTATCTCTGATTGTGATAATGCTATCGAATTGTCCTCTGAAGAGAATAAGTATCCACTCTTCAGATTCATCTACTCCAGAATCACTGGTAATGCCAAGATTCGAATTTCTTTGTACGATTTTGATAATTGGGATGACGTAAAAACGAAATTAATAGAATTATACCAAGACAAGAAACCCCATAGTCAACTGATAAAAGAATTGATTAATCGCAGACAAAAATCAACATGTATCCACTATGAAGATAACACAATAAAATTGTGGGAAAAACTTAAAATTTTAGAAGTTACAGAATCCAAACTTGAAGTTGAAGAGAAAACAGATCCTTTACCAGAATCCAAACTTGAAGTTGAAGAGAAAACAGATCCTTTACCAGAATCCAAACTTGAAGTTAAAGAGAAAACAGATCTTTTACCAGAATCCAAACTTGAAGTTGAAGAGAAAACAGATCCTTTACCAGAATCCAAACTTGAAGTTGAAGAGAAAACAGATCCTTTACCAGAATCCAAACTTGAAGTTGAAGAGAAAACAGATCCTTTACCAGAATCCAAACTTGAAGTTGAAGAGAAAACAGATTCTTTACCAGGATCAATTCCTGCTCAAGAGGAAAAAGCACCCTCTACAAATTTATCTAAGAAAAAGGCTAAAGAAGCACCCTCTACAAATTTATCTAAGAAAAAGGCTAAAGAAGCACCCTCTACAAATTTATCTAAGAGAAAGGCTAAAGAAGCACCCTCTACAAATTTATCTAAGAGAAAGGCTAAAGAAGCACCCTCTACAAATTTATCTAAGAGAAAGGCTAAAGAAGCACCTTCTACAAATTTATCTAAGAGAAAGGCTAAAGAAGCACCCTCTACAAATTTATCTAAGAGAAAGGCTAAAGAAGCACCCTCTACAAATTTATCTAAGAGAAAGGCTAAAGAAGCACCCTCTACAAATTTATCTAAGAGAAAGGCTAAAGAAGCACCCTCTACAAATTTATCTAAGAGAAAGGCTAAAGAAGCACCCTCTACAAATTTATCTAAGAGAAAGGCTAAAGAAGCACCCTCTACAAATTTATCTAAGAGAAAGGCTAAAGAAGCACCCTCTACAAATTTATCTAAGAAAAAGGCTAAAGAGGCACCATTACTTCCTAAAAATAAAAATAAGAAAAAAGGTCTAAATGTAAAAGAAGAAAGATCATCCATACAGAATTCAAAACCTAAAAATCATCCTAAAGCTGAAATTCAAAAGGAAACAAAAATTTCAAATAAAAATATAGGAGCTACTAAAAAATTCACAAGCATAATTTTGGGAAGCATACTAAAAAGCGGAAATGGAATTCCAGTACCAAGAAATCTAGGAAGAAAGCATCCATTCTTATGTCAACCGATTTTCACGAAGAGAGTATTCCTGAGGTAAAGCTATTTTTACTAAGTAAAGTTCACCTATCGTCTAATGAAAAAGAGAAGATTCAAACCAGTCAAGAATTAGCAAGAGGAAATCTCAATGAAAAACTTAGTCCTGAATTTAAGGATCCATACGAGGTCAAGAAAAAATCTGGCAAAAACGTTTTATTAAAAATCCGTAACAAGGAAGTTACTTATCACAAAACCGTGTTCTGAGTAGTTGATCTAAAGAGAGAGAAATCCAAAATAATAATAATTTAATCCTTTTATTTTCCCATATAGCTAATCATCATTTATTTTATTATTAATCCATTTATTCTTTTCTATGTACCCTATATAAAATTCTTGTATTTTTTAGAACTTATGTCAATTTTGTTTCGAATTTCATGTCTCTTGATTTTATTCTTTTATCTTTACTCTTTATGAAACATTGTTCACTAACGAGTATTGCCTAGGAAAGGTTCTACTACTTGCAGCTATAAAGCTTAAAATTATGTTCCTGATAAGAAGCCAATGTGAAGAGATACAACAGTCTACCATACAGAAGACATAGCACCTACTACTACTCAAGGAGTTTCAACCTGGACGGAACCATTCAGAACCCGACATAGGAAGCTGTCAAATCCAAACAAGAGGAGAAAACAAATTCTTTTTCAAATAATTGTTTTCCGTCTTAAGGGGGGAGGTGTTATGATCCCGTACTCAATATTCACATTTTCAAATTTTTATAAACAAAAGACTGGCGACGAACTCGAATTGTTCTTCTTTAGAAGCGAAGCTTCTAAAGACTCCTTCTTTTATTTTATTTGCAAGTGTTTGCTAGTTCCCATTGTTGCTCGTTCGAAACAGTTGACTGACGAAAGACCAAAGTAATATAGGCAAGCTACACCGCTTGGCGTCGGTTCATTTGATTTTTAGTCTAGCTGTAATAAGTTCTTGTTTATTAATATTAGTTTTGTGATAGTTTTAAGTGCTTGTTCATTACTTACAAAAATAAAGAACGAACCGAATATAACAATATATATATATACAGACATTTTTATTTTTTAAGTTTGGATTAATTTCGGTTGAATAATATTTTAATAAAAAATCATTTTTAATGTTAACTTCTTTTACTTGAAAATTTAATAAAAACTTATTTTGATAGTAAATGACAAATATCAATGATAAAAGTCAAAAATTTGACTGGTTTAAAAATGATATTCAAGTCGGTCTCGAATCGAAACATTGAAATAAAATCCGGATGACCTACGTTAGAGTTGTAGCATCCAGTCCTTAATTTTCAGGTTAGGTTTCTAAACGAATCCTGAAAAACTTTGATAACATCACCGAAAAATGTCGTACGTAATAAACAGGTATAAATAATATTATTTAAAAAGAAATTCAAAATTCCTTCCGAAAAAAAAAAAAAAAAATTACGAACCACATTAAAAATAACCTATATTTGAACAGATTTTTGATAATGAACACTCGTTGAATTTCACACTCAGTTAATATCATTGGATAAAAAAAAACCAGAATCATTAATTTATTATGTTAATTATTACAATTGAATTATTTTCTAATTTAATTTATTTTATTCGAAATAAATGAATAAATAAATATATATTGCTAATTTATTGTAAGTAAAAAAAAAAAAGAAAGGGGGGGGGGGGTTAATAAAAAATATTTTTTTGCTAATAAGTTTTATAAAAATATTTAGTTATATCGTTTGAAAAGGTCATTGAACAAGCTTTAATGTTTTTTTATTAATATCTTGAGTAGGTATTTTCTCCAAGAATTAATATTATATTTAAGGGTCAACGATCTTAAATAGAATTATTCTTATTCCAGTTTATTTGCCTTTTTTTTTTTTTAATTTTAAAAACTTTTTTATCAATTGCAAAAATTTCCCTTTTTTCTAACTATAACAATATTAAGAAAATGTATTTAATATTTTTTTATAAAATACAAACAAAAATAAACAAACATTATATGAATTATATATAATTGATAGATAAAAAATCAATTTTTTAAATGGGTAATCAAACGAGTACATTGATGTTTTTTTATCATTTATTATTTTATTAGTTATTTAAATAAGTCATAAAATTAAAAAAGCAAAATTGAGAAATATGCGAAAAAAAATTTTATGAATAACAGTAAAAATATGATTTAGCGAAATAAATTTTAAATTAATAGAAAAAATTATTTATAGTTAAAATATCAAAATTTATCTTTTTTTTTTTTTTTTTTTTTTCATTAACATACTACTATTTGCATCTTAGGCAAATGATTACGTATTTTACGAATTTTTTTTACTTACTCTATTTGCCTCTCCAAAAAATCAACACCGATTGTTTTTTT